CCACCGCAGCCTCGACCTGCTGCGCTCCGGTGATCCTTCCGCCTCAGCCTTCCAAGTAGCTGGAACTACAGGCGTGTGCTACCACACCCGGCTAATTTATTTTTATTTTTATTTATTGTAGAGATGAGGTCTCACCAAGTTGCCCAGGCAGGTCTCGAACCCGCGGGCTCAGGTAATCCACTCACCACAGCCTCCCAAGGCGCAGGATTATAGGCTGAGCCACCAAACCCGGCTGGTCATGTGTTTTAAATTGAAAACTCTTTAAATTCAGATTGTAGTTTAATGCCATTATTCATTAGCTTATATAAATCTGACTTGAATCTATATTGCCATTCTGTGTATGGGCAATTTTCCCCAAAGATTCTGTGACATAGTGCTGCCTTTTGTTTTAAAACTATCTTGCCCAGGAATCACTGAGTGCCCCTAGTGCCAGCATGTGTATTTCAGAACTTTATCAACAATTCATGGTCATTTTATCTCTGACCATTGTGCCTTTTCCGATTTTGGACCTATTACCTCTCAATGTTTCCTAAAAATTTAAAAGATCTTATTATCTTCTTTAATACTTATTTATGTGGCAATGTCTCCTTCCCAGCCTACATCCTTTTATAATTAATTGTTATCCTGTAGAATATTTCCTACCTATAATTTCTTTGTGTTATGATAACTAAGACTAATATTCTAATTTTACACCAAGTATGATTTTATACAAATTGTTTTCGGTTTGGGCCATGAGAGCACAAAACCAGATCTTTTAAAAATAAATATGCCTATTCAATTAGGCATTATTTATTAATTTTATCAACTCATATAAACCAATAATTATTGATTGCTTACTCTATCAGGTATTAAGAATACAGCAGTGAGCAAAACAAAGATCCTGCATACATGAGATGTCCAGTCTAGTGGAAAGATAAACAAGTAAATAAATGTATAATGTGATGTCCAATAAAAGCTTTGAAGGAAAATAAAGCAGAGTGGAAGGCCAGAGAATGACAGGAGGGCTATTTTTAGCTAAGTCACCCACCAAAGAAGCCCTTTTTAAGGAATTAACATTTGAACAAAAAAATGAATTAACATCAAATATTTAATGCTCAACATTTGACCAAACAACTCTACCTATAGGATTTATCCTGAAAATAATAATAATAATAATCAGGAGTGTATTATGAGCCATGTTGTATATAGTAATTAAACACTGAACAACCTAAAATGTCTAAAATAAAGGATTGGTCAGATAAGTTATTCTGTAAGCATTTTTTGTTGAAAAATCTCCATCAACAGGAGGATAGAGAACACTATATATACAAGGGGGCCCCTCTAAAAAAATGGAATTCGTTTTTTTAAAGCGGTATTTATTCTTTTAAAAAAATTTTTAAAGCATGAATTTATTCCTGGGTTTTTTTTTTAATACACATTGGTCTTTGGCAGAACTGTGATATTTTGGTTACTATGGCTTTGAGGTGTGTGTATTTATATATAGATATACTATTTTTTTTTTGAGTCGGTCTCACTCTGATGCCATCTGGAGTGCAGTGGCACACTCACAGCCACTGCAGCCTCGACCTGCTGGGCTCAGGTGATCCTTCCTCCTCAGCCTTCCATGTAGCTGCAACCACAGGAATGTGCCACCATACCTGACTAATTTTTTTTTTTTTGAGTTGGAGTCTCACTCTGTCGCCCAGGCTGGAGCGTCGACCTGCTCAGCTCCGATGATCCTTCTGCCTCAGCCTTCCAAGTAGCCGCAATCACAGGCACGTGCTACTGCACCTAGCTAATTTTTTATCTATTGTAGAGACGAGGTCTTGCAAGTTCCCTGGGCTAGTCTCGAACCTGCGGGTTCAGGCAGTCCACTCGCCTTAGCCTCCCAAAGTGCTGGGATCACGGGCTGAGCCTCTGAGCCCGGCCTAATTTTTTGATTTATTGTGGAGATGAAGTCTCACCACGTTGTTCAGGCTGGTCTCGAACTCCTGAGCTCAAGCAATCCTCTCGCCTCCGCCTCCCAAAGTGCTGGGATTATAGGCTTGAGCCACCGCGCCCAGCATATTTACTCTTACATGTCTAAACTTCAGTCATCTTCAAAGTACTCTCCTTTTGATGCCATGCACCTATTGAGACACTTTTTCCTCTGCTCAAAACAGTTTTTGAATTCATCAACTTTTATGCCTATTGGTATTTCTGCCGTTTTTTGTTTCACTTCTATATGGGCAAAGCATTTCCCTTTGAGGACCTTTTTTAATCCAGGGAAACAAGTCACTCAGGTGAGATCAGGTGACTAGGGAGGGTGAGGCATGGGGGTCATGCTGTTTTTGGTCAAAAACTGATGAACACTTAATGTGGTGTTATTAAATTATTATTATAAAGATGTGGGGTACAATTCAGGGTTAGGTATACAAACATTGATTATGCAGGTACCCTTGTTGATGAGGTATGCCCCTCCCTCCCCTAGCAGTTTCCCTCAACTGCCAATCCCACCCCCCTCCCCTGACAGTTTTTGTTACGGTGGAAGAACCAGTCACCTTGTTTGCCACAACTTGGGACCTTTCTTCCTCAAATCATGCTGCAACCTTCTCAAACCTTCCAGATAAAAACTTTGGTTGACCATTTGATCTGGAGGAACAAATTCCAAGTGTACTCTAAGGGGCCTGCCCTCCAAAAGATAATTCCTTTTTGAGGGTGGATCTCCCTCGTATTGTATAATGTTTATTGTTTAACTCCCTATTTAATGTGTGTTTTTATGTGTATAAATGCCCAGGAAAAAAATCTAGAAGAATAAATACCAAAATGTTAGAAGCTATTTTCTCTGTGTTGGGGAAATAAAGATCACTTTGCTTTTTGTTTTCTCTTTGGTATCTGTATTTTGACATTTTCTGCATCAAATATGGATTGCTTGTAGAGTTTAATCAAAGCAACAGTTCTGACAGTCTGGGCTATGCAGTAGCTACAATCCTGTATGAGCTGTTCTTTTATCCCTAATTTCTATGGGCTAAGAAAATGATAGATAAATATACTTTTATAGCCCAATTGCAGAGGTTGCATATCGATATGGAGAATCTCCGGGAGGAGAAGGACAGTAAAATCACAAGTACTAGAGATGAATTGCTTAGTGCCCGAGATGAAATTATACTCCTTCATCAAGCAGCAGAAAAGGCTGCCTCTGAGCGGGACACTGACATTGCTTCTTTACAAGAAGAGCTTAAGAAGGTACGAAGTGAGCTTGAGCGGTGGCGGAAAGCAGCATCTGAATATGAAAAAGAAATCACGAGTCTGCAAAACAGTTTTCAGCTTCGATGTCAACAGTGTGAGGACCAGCAGAGAGAGGAAGCAACAAGATTGCAAGGTGAGTAAATGTATTTTACATAAAACTTTTGACTTTTGACAATGGTAACTTCATAACTTATGCAAAATAATCATACAGGCCTTTTTTTTCTTAGCAATTGGTTCTATAAAGCATTGTTTCTATACTGAGGCTATAAACATATTCTTAGGTCTGCAAGTTCTACAATAAAGTTAGAATTTTTTACAATTTTATATTTTATTTAAATACTATTAAAAATTATTTGTCCTGTAATCCTAGCACTTTGGGAGTCATAGACAAGAGGATTGCCTGAGCATAGGGGCTCAAGACCAGCCTGGGCAACTTGGTGAGACCTCATCTCTACAATAAATTTTAAAAAATAAGCTGGGCGTGGTAGCTCATGCCTGTTGTTCCAGCTACTTGGAAGGTTGAGACAGAAGGATCGCCTGAGCCCAGCAGGTCAAGGCTGTGGTGGCCATGAGTGTGCCACTGCACTCCAGCCTGGGCGACAGAGTGAGACTCCAGCTCAAAAAAAAAAAATTAATTGTCTTAGAAAAGTGAAGTGGAAAAAATTACTATTCAAGTTCGAGATGAGAGAACTTTCTCAAGGTATAGATGCAAAGAAACAGGAATCAAAGAATAGCCACGAAAAATCTATACTTTTAAGGAGGAAAAAAAGTATGTTCTCTGAAATATTTCCCTTTATACTTTGAATTATTATGGAAGTTATAGTCCTATATTAACAAATATGTTTTGGGACTATTTTAGGTGAACTGCAGAAATTGAGAAAGGAATGGAATGTATTGGAAACCGAATGTCATTCTCTAAAAAAGGAAAATGTTTTGCTATCATCAGAACTGCAACGGCAAGAAAAGGAGCTGCACAAGTATGCAAAAACTCTTTTTTAGACTCAAAAGATTTCTTTACCTTAAATTTTTATCTTAATTTAATTTTAATACTTAAGTGCCTTATTTTCAGCCAGTCTCTGTTTGGCTATTTGGCAGGTTAACCATATTAAGTAAATCCTTCAGCTTTTTTTTTCTGCCACCACCATCATCCTACATGTCCTTTCATTGTACTCATGGAATACAGATTCATTAAATCTCTTCTCCTCTCCCCATGAAAAAACCCTAAGCAGACAGCAAAGGTCTATAATTGTTAGCTGTTCTTGCCCTATAAACAAAATAATACATTTCAAATACAAATTGTTTTTCTTTCACACCAGTGATCTCTTCATTTAGTAAGGGTAATCAGGAAGTGACTGTAATAAAGACTTTGTTCTACTGAAAGATATAAATTTAGCTTCTGAGTTTCAAACAGGGTTATATGAAGAGTAAGAATGTATAAGACCAAGAATCCTATAAAACCAGTTTATCTTTCTAGAATCTTTGGTTTTACCTTACAGGCAAACTAATGAATGCATTAGATTTATTCCAACAAATTTAGTAGAGTCCTATTGGCTCACCAGCATTTTTCATATTGTCTTTAAATTGGGTTTATTCCTTAAAAACGTAGTCCATTCTATATTTGTATTTTTTTAAACAATGTTTGTGTTCTGATTCAAAGCATGAAAGTAGTACATGATTCTTACTGAAATCATTCTTAATTGATCCCAGCTCCCTACCCCAGTACACCAAAAATGAAGGTAATTACTCATTTGTTAGCATTGTGTTTACACTCCTGGAGAGCATTAAAGTTAGCAAACATTTAATTCTTTAAGGTCAGTTCCCACAGAAAAGAAGCTCTAGAGAAAAATAATAAAGACAGTACTAGATATATCAAAAAATAGTATGCTTCATTATGTGTTTATAAAAACAATTGCAGTCCAGGCACGGTGTCTCAGTCTGTAATCCCAGCACTTTGGGAGGCCGAGGCAAGAGGATTGCCTGAGCCAGGGGATTCGAGACTAGCTTGGGCAACTTGGTTAGCCCTCGTCTCTACAATAAATCACAAAAACTAGCCGGGCATAGTGGCGTGCATCTGGAGTTCCAGCTACTTGGAAGACTGAGGCTGGAGAATAGCCTAACCCCAGCAGGTCGGGGCTGTGGTGTGCGTGCCACTGCACTCCAACCTGGGCAACAAAAGTGAGACTCCAATTCAAAAATAAAATAAAATAATAAAAACAATTGCAATGTTGATTATATATTTTTTAAAAATTAAGAACTAACTAAAGAAACAAGATGTGCTGGTTTATTCTGTAAAACCCCTCCTTACAATACCTTGTGTTCTCAATACCAGTATCTTTAAAGTGCTTTTATTTTCTCTTCCAGTGTCATAACTTTCCTTAGTCTTTTCATACATTTTATGTATATTACTTTTTGAATGTATAGAGATAATTTATGATAAAGATAAAAACAAATATTTGTTTTAGCATGCAAAAATTTGTAAAAGCAATTCCAAAATAAAGGCCAAAACCACAAATATATAAAATACATACACACACACACTTTTATATATATGCATAAAAGAATGAACTGATTATCTATTTGGCAAATAAATAAAATTTGGGCAAATTTTTTTGGTATAAAATAGCGAGATTATCATTCAGATACCTAAGTTCTTAAAATTTGAAATACATGAGGATCCATGAACCTATTTAGTTTAGTATCCTATCAAGCAGGAAATACCAGTATTTAATTACTAAATCTTAATTATTCTTATTTTGAAATTATTGATATTTTAAAGATTCAGGTTAGATTTCTTATTTTTGAGATTTGATTGAAACCTGGTAGATTATTAAATACTGTTTTTAATTACCTCGGATTTTGTTTAAGTGTTGAAAAGCAAATTTACAAACTCCTTGTGGGTAGAAACATATGGTTTTAAAATAATAGGCCCATTGCTGGACACGGTGGCTCACGCCTGTAATCCCAGCACTTTGGGAAGCAGAGGCGAGAGGATTGCCTGAGTCCAAGAGTTTGAGACCAGTCTGGGCAACTTGGAGAAACCTTGACTCTACAATAAATTAAAAAAAAAGAAATTTAGCCAGGTACGGTGGCACTCACCTGTGGTTCCAGCTACTTGGAAAGCTGAGGCAGAAAGATTGCCTGAGCCCAGCAGGTCCAGCCTCAGTGACAGAGTGAGGATCCTACTCAACAAACAAACAAACAAATAAATGATTAATAAAATACTAGACCCCAGAGTGAGACTCTTACTAGATAGATACATAGATACATAGATACATAGATAGACAAACAGACAGATAGATAAAATACTAGACCCCAGAAAGATGGAATATATTAGAGCATGGGTCAAGTCATCTGCCTAAACTCACATAAAGTATTTGGGGCCAGACTCGGTGACTCAGCCTGTAATCCCACGCTTTGGGAGACCGAGGTGAGTGAATTGCCTGAGCCCACGGGTTCGAGACCCACCTGGGCAACTTGGCGAGACCTCATCCCTACAATAAATCAAAAAAATTAGCCGGGTGTGGTAGCGCATGCCTGTAGTTCCAACTACTTGGAAGGCTGAGGCGGAAGGATCACCGGAGCCCAGCAGGTCAAGGCTGCGGTGGCCAGGAGCATGCCACTGCACTCCTGTCTGGGCAACAGAGTGAGACTCCAACTCAAAAAATATATATATATTTGGGAAAGATTAATTCTGTTTCTTAAACTTTTCTGGTGTAGTAGTTCTCTGTTTACTTGGTAAGCCTCCCCATCACTTAAGTAATATTTAGAAGCTAGTCTTAGTCGGGCTCGGTGGCTCAGCCTGTAATCCCGTGCCTTTGGGAGGCTGAGGTGAGTAGATTGCTGAGCCCGCAGGTTCAAGACCCGCCTGGGCAACTTGGCGAGACCTCATCTCTACAATAAATCAAAAAATAAGCTGGGCGTGGTAGCACACGCCTGTAGTTCCAGCTACTTGGAAGGCTGAGGCAGAAGGATCACCGGAGCCCAGCAAGTCGAGGCTGCGGTGGCTGGGAGCGGCCACTACACTCCAGTCTGGGTGACAGAGTGAGACTCCAACTAAAAAAAAAAAAAAGAAGCTAGTCATACTTTACAAGGTCTTATATGTCACTTAGTTCCTAGCTTTATTGGCCTGATGACATCAGACCCCCCTTCCCAGGAGTCTTCCTAGCATACAATAGGGATGGAATTTATACTCTGTTGAGCCTCATCACAATATTGAGTCTGATTCTTGAATGATTCATTCTGAAAGATGTAAAACAGTCACCTTGAAAACTTTATACTCCTTTTACTATTTATGAAAGCCAAATTCTCTAACTCAGCTATACTGTGCAGGTCTTGTTTTCTGTTGTCTGTGATGTAGAAAAAGGAATTGAACAAGGAATTTCTATTCATGTATATCAAGCTGTTTTCCTCATATGTAAATCAGATTTTTTTACATCAAGTTATAAAAGTAATCATATAAAAGTTGGAGAACAGCCTCAGAAATTATTGAGTTCAGCCCTCTTACTTGACAGTGGAGGATACTGAGACTCTCCTTGTGTTATTTGTGTCTATCTGATATGGTACATGGCATAGATGTAAAAGTTTAGGAAATTATTCAAAGAGTGAAATGTATCAGGTTAAATGACTTCCCCAACATCAGACAACTAAATAGTAGCAGGCCTAGGGTCAAGAACCCAACCTCCTAGTTCCTCGCCCTATGCTTTTTTTCATAATTTGGTATGCCTCTCATTTGAATAAGTTCATTTTTACTTGAATTAGTAGTGGCTTCTAAGCTTACGTTTCTGGTTCCCATCCTATTTTCAAGTACTTAAACTTGTAAGAAAATAGTTGAGCCAGGCTCGGTGGCTCAGCCTGTAATCCCAGCACTTTGGGAGGCCGAGGTGAGTGGATTGCCTGAGCCCGCGGGTTTGAGACCCGCCTGGGCAACTTGACAAGACCTCATCTCTACAACAAATCAAAAAATTAGCTGGGTGTGATAGCACATGTCTGTAGTTCCAGCTACTTGGAAGGCTGAGGCGGAAGGCTCACCGGAGCCCAGCAGGTTGAGGCTGCGGTGGCCGGAAGTGGCCACTGCACTCCAGTCTGGGCGACAAAGTGAGACTCCAACTCAAAAAAAAAAGAAAATAGTTGAAGTATACATATTGTTTTCCTATGAAGACCTACACTGAATCTTTTTATGATATAATTAATATAATTTGATAATACAAAATATACAGTTAATCATCTCCTGCTTCTATTTTTAAAAGTTCAACCTTTTGTTACCTTTGTCTATATATGATAGGACATAGCTTTATACTTGCATTTTTTAGTGTTTTAATGCTTTTTTGCTTATTGAGTAAAAAATCTTAATTTTTTTAACTCTCTTTTTTCTTCCTCTGATATCCATTTTCTCCCTTCTAGTGAAATGTATAAGAAATTGAACTTCCTTCTGTGTGAATAACTGTTGGTCAATATTTATGTTGCAGTTCTCAGAAGCAGAGTTTAGAACTTACCAGTGATCTCAATATCCTTCAGATGACTAGGAAAGAGCTTGAGAATCAAGTGGGATCCTTGAAAGAACAGCATCTTCGGGATTCAGCTGATTTAAAAACTCTTCTCAGTAAGGCTGAAAACCAAGCAAAGGATGTACAGAAAGAGGTAAAGCGAAAAGACATTATGAGCCCAATTATGGTTGGACTTAAAACCAAAAGCAAATCAGATATCCATGCTAGTTAGGAATAAAGGGAAGCAGAAATCATATCATCTCACAAAGTTGATACTTGGAACATCCCTGTTTGGTGTTTCCTACCTAGCTGTGTATCATGGTACATATAAAGAGAATTCAGGATAGGTCTCAAAAATATGAATATACAAAATTACATTTTAATTTTTCTCTCCCAGTTAGTTGACCCATGTGAGAAGCCGTGTGTACCAGATCATTCAATCCATTGTTTATCTTTCAAAGAGAGTATCATATTTAACTTAGAATACTTTTGGAAAGCAATCTGGGGCCATACCCCTCAGGTAAAACTGGCCTGAAAAGTGACTTTCTATGTTCTGTGACCTTTCACTTTCAACCTCACTCCCTTCTTCACAAATGTACATGCTCACTTTTCATGTGATTTTTGCTTAAAACCTTGACTTAGGTGGCTTTTTAAAAAATCATGATGGCCGGGCATAGTGGCTCATGCCTATAATCCCAGCACTTTTGGGAGGCCAAGGTGAGAGGATTGCCAGAGCTCACAGGTTCGAGACCAGCCTGGGCAACTTGGCGAGACTTCATCTCTACAATAAATCAAAAAATTAGACGGGAATAGTGGCGCATGCTTGTAGTTCCAGCTACTTGGAAGGCTGAGGCAGAAGGATCGCCTGAGCCCAGCAGGTTGAGGCTGCGGTGGCCATGAGCATGCCACTATCCTCCAGCATGGGCAACAGAGTGAGACTCTAACTTAAAAAAAAAATCATGTTAAAAATGATAGGGTTGATTTTGGAACAGAGACTACCCAGCTTCTTCCTGAGCAAGGAAGGTAACTTTCACTTCCCAAAGCATTGAAATCAGGGCAGCAAGAGCTGCATTCTGTCCTGCTCCTCCTACCACTCCCTACATTGACTCCAGGCCGGCTCCGGAACGGACAAGGCTGATGCCACTGGATCTACTGATTAGGGACCACCCCAGTTGTAGACTTTCTTTAAAGGATTCTGTATAAACTAGAATGAAATTGAAGACAGGCTGGGCACTGTGGCTCACTCCTGTAATCCCAGCACTTTGTGAGACCAAAGCGAGAGAATTACTTGAGCCCAGGAGTTCAAGACCAGTCTAGGCAACATAGCAAGACCTCATCTCTACAAAAAAATTTTTAAAAATTAGCCAGGCATAGTGGCATGCTCCTGTAGTCCCAACCAAGAAGGCTAAGGGGGAAGAATCACCTGAGCCCAGGAGGTTGAGACTGCAGTGAGACATGATTGTACCACTGCACTTTGGCCTGGGCAACAGAGTGAGACTGTGACTCAAGAAAAAAAAAGGAAATTTAAAACAACTCTTTGTCTTTAATAAAGAATTTTCCCAAAATTGTTTTTAGAAGATCTGTTTAATCAATGCAGTTTTTCTTTGCACTTTCCTTTCCTTGTAGTATCTTGAATTTGGAAATGATTGTTGTTGTTTTGTCTTCATGTTTGTTCCTAAAGAAAAAAACTGTAACTTTTTTTACTTTCCTGTGGACATATTGATTTTGTAATATGTTCATTTTTACCTTGCTAAGGATATGTGTTTCAGGAGAAATCTCATATGGTTGGATTACAAATTTTGTGCCAAAGCAAATATCTTAGTATTTAATACTGTAAGCACTTTGTGTCCTTCCAGTCCATATGCCATAATTCTTTCAAACTCTGGGAAGAATGCTATGCTTGGAAGATGATTCTGTTGTATGTTACTATGAATGCAGTATCCATTTTGTTGCATTATTTGTTTGCCTGTTTTTGATCACTTAGTAATTGGTGCAAAATGCTTTGTTTCCGCAAATGGCAGTGACATGTCACAGCATCTAAATTGTTGATAGTCTTGGATTGCATTAAATGCAGCACATTTAAAAATATGTCTGATCTTGTCAATATGTTTTCTTTCTATTTTCTCGTTCACTGTTTTCCATTGTGAAATGATAATATAGTCATCACACTCCCCTGTAATGTGAAATTGCTTTCTTTCTGTTTGTCCTGATGTCAACATGTTGAATACTGGCCTATAACTAAAATGTTCTTCAATGAGATCTTACCTCTGTGTAATCCACTGCAAATGGATTTTATTACCTTTTATTAATGCACATATATTCCCTGTCAACATTTCCCCTTTGTTCTCCCTTCTCTCATAGAATCATGCTTAATATGCATAGTGTCTGATTGTGTCTTCAGCACTGTAATAGACTAAAATATTACAAGCTAAGTAAGCCCAGATATGATTCTTTTTATGAAGAAGAATGAAAGGTGTCAGTAATATTAATCAGGACTGAGCTTGTTTCTCACCTCAGAGTTAGAAAGCAGGATGGAGCGGAGCAAAAATGATATCCAAGCAAGGTGTGAGACTAAGACTGCAGAAGGTGACCTTTTTAATATGTGGCAGCTTTTTAATTAATATTTAGCAAAGGAAAAGTACATGAGAAAAGTATATTTTAATCCTCAAATTAAGAGAAAATTATATATTGTCTTTATATTTGACTTTAGAAAGCATCTGCACATTTTAATTTAGTAGGAATATTGTAATCTAAGAATTCATAAAACATTGAGCACACAAGTCCACCCTGCAAAGACTGACTCCAGAAAGTTATTTGGCTTCACATCTTGCTGTGGAGCCAGAATCCCCCACTCACATGCTGGAGGTAAGCAGCAGGATCCTCTGACTGAGCTGCCTTCCTGTGGTTCTGCTACACAACTCCTAGAATGGAGAAATTATTAAGTGCTTTGTTGCAAAGGGCAGACTGGATATAAGAATGGTGGGACAGGAGAGTAAGGGAAAATTTCGGTCAACAAAGCACTTTTTACTTTATTATAGTCACTGTTAAGAATCCGATCATGGGCCGGGCTTGGTGGCTCAGCCTGCAATCCCAGCGCTTTGGGAGGCCGAGGCGAGTGGATTGCCTGAGCCACCAGGTTCAAGACCCCCCCCGGCAACTTGGTGAGACCTCATTTCTACAATAAATCAAAAATTATCCAGGCATGGTAGTGCACGCCTGTAGTTCCAGCTACTTGGAAGGCCGAGGCGGAAGGATCGCCGGAGCCCAGGAGGTCAAGGCTACAGTAGCAGGGAGCGTGCCACTGCACTCCAGTCTGGACGACAGAGTGAGACTCCAACTCAAAAAAAAAAAAAACCAAATCATGGATCATTAAGAATTGATTTTGTCCTAAGATACAGAAACTAGTCTAGGTATACTGACTTTGCCTTGACAGCATGCCAGTAACCTTCTGCCTTCTGGAAGGAAGTCTACAGACCCTCACATCAACTGAAAAAAGCTGTCGTAAAGCCCATGAATCTTATTCCTTAGTTCATTCTCTGGCATACAACCCAGGCTTGTTGTGGAAATGTTGTTAGGTATCAGTGAGTTTCTTTCATATTTGCCTCCTTCTCTGTACCAATATCTTTCTTCCCCCTTTCTGGTGACCTCCAATCACCCCTATACCCCCTGCCCCCGCCTCTCCTATCTATTGTTGTATATATTTGCATCTTTCTTAATATTTATCTTTGTTGAGCATAATAATGAGCTCCCAATTGGTCACTCCAAGGTATTTGCATTTTTCATAAGCACCATTGTAAAGGTGTCCTTTATTGAGGAATTTCTGGGATATAGGTAGAGAGGAACTGAAAACTTTCCACCCTTGTAGGCTATACTTAGGGGAGAGAAGGAACCTTTCTGGTATGCCATACCCATGGTATATTTATTTTATATTCAGTCATTGCCTTTCTGTCTTCTTCAAAAACCTTCAGAAATGGCAAAATAGGGCAGCAGAGGTGGAGACAAAAGCACAGCCAGCAGCAGAACAATCTCTGCTTTTTGGGAGCCCAGCTTACATGTAAGATGCAATATCTAGAAGTAGGACCAGCCTAGAATTTCACCCTCCTGGAGTTGTTTAAAAGCCACACTGTGTTTCACATTGGTTTCACTTGTGTTCAAGAGATAGCTAGTCTATCTGAAAGTCAAATTATATACAGTGAACTGTTCTCCTAAGCAGAAAATGGTGTTTCACTATTGAAACACTCCTATCAGAAACATTCTTAAAAATGATTTTTAATTGATGCTTATAAGTTCTGAGTGGAAAAAAATTTCCCATTCATAGTGGTGGTTACTTCAGATACATTCTTTGCTCCATCTGCCTAGAAAATTCACTTATCCAGGACACTTTAATACTCAGTAATGCTGGGTAAGGGGAAACCTGTTGGAAGTTTATACTTTTTACTCCAAGACTAAAATAGCTTGGCTGACAGTGCTTACCAGGATATAAACTCGGGCTTCCTAACACTGGCATTTAATTAGGTGATGGAAATTATCTTTACCTGCTTTTCCTTTGCTCAACTTGTAATTTTTCTTTTCTCCTATAACTTACTTGATGGAAAAAGAGACACTTTGTATTAGAAACAGATGACAAAATGGTGACTTCTGTTCATTTTTTCTCAACTCCACCCCCAGAAAATTCTTACATAGACTCAGGTCAACATTAAAGACTTCCTATTATGAATGCAAGTGATTCTTATCCTCCTTAAACAAAAAGGCTTGACTTTGGTGTTCTAGGTGACTAAATGGGGTCTGGTATATAAACCTGACTAGAACCATAACTTCATACCCATTTTAAGTTGAGTCTGCACACTTTTTTTTTCTTTGCCTTTAGTTTGAAAAGACACAGACTGTACTCTCAGAACTGAAGTTGAAGTTTGAAATGACTGAGCAGGAAAAGCAGTCAATCACAGATGAGCTCAAACAATGTAAAGACAACCTGAAGCTGCTCCGAGAGAAAGGAAATAATGTAAGTCTTTGCAAACTTGACATAGCTTTGATTGAGAGGCAGGTGAGAGAACTGAAAGTGATTTTCAGAGGACTTTATTACTGATTTGGGAAACTAATGAACAAGTGAAGTAAGCTTTTCATTATGAAATTCCATGATGGAATTATTGTGCTATCAATTTTTTTAAAGAATTTTCCTCTTTAACCTATGCCCCTCAAAAAACTTGAAGACTACCTGGTAGAAGAGCTTTGCTTCGAATAAAACAGCTTAACTGAGAACTATCAGTTTTTCCCAGAGGATTCTGAGGCTCTGCCACTAAGCCATCATCTGGCTCTTGATTCTCCCTTGCTGGGAATTGAAGCACAGTACCACCAGGGACTCATGTAAGATAGAGTAGCACATGTTGATCTTTAGCATTTAACTGTATCAAAAAAAACCTGAGACTTAGTTATGGTTTTCATTTTACATTAATGTTCTCATTAGGGTACATTTCTAAAAAGCTTGGTGTCTCTTGGCAAATATTTGCTGAGTTTCTGTAGGGTTATGTGTGTGTGTGCAAGAGAGAGAGAGAGAGAAAAAGGAACATTTTGGTATAAATTGAGTTTAATAATAATTTGTTTTTCATTTACTAGAAAGGCAGATGGTCTTTTAAAAAGGTGTTATACTAAATAAATGTTGTATTGTGTGTTTTGGTGATCATCACCTTTGTGGGCCCTAACTGATAGATGTTTACTGTGGTTGGTTGTGCTTTGACTTATTTCAAACTTCTGTTTGGCTTGGACACTGCAGTGTGCGTGAGCCACATGCTTCCTATAGAGGGCACTCTGCTTCACTTGCAGCACAAGTACAAAAGAGTGATGTTGCATGGCCATCTCGTTACTCATTTGCACACAGAATGCTCATGAGTTATGTCCAACTGTCCTTCGCTAAAGAAACCCTTAGTTTTTAGACAGGAAAGGCTTACTGCTTAGGTAGAAACCTTTTAGAAGTTGATTGATTGGATGTGGAAGCTTTATGCTAAGCAAAAAATGGTTTGCATTTACTTTTTAAAATGTAGATTGCAGAACTGTTCTAAAATCAGATCATAATGGTTTGAATACTTCTTTTGTGTTCATTCATAGCCCTCTGATTATGGAATTTCAATTTACTTTCTGCTAAATTAACCTGTGAAGACATCTAGCATAATCAGAATGGATCCCCCTGTACTATTTAGAACCTTTTCAAAAGTAACTGCTATTATTATTTATAGTTACAATTCATCTTAGGGGTGAATTTCCTTTTTTGTGATATTAGACTTAAGATGCTAAGTATTAAATATTACCCTTTAATAACACTCATTGCAGTAATTCTCTTCCAATTTTAAAATTTCATTATATTCTAGTAACAACAGATAGCCCTGAAACTCACCTGTCTTTATATACCAAATCTTTACTATACATAGTGTCAGATCTCTTGCCTGGTTTAGGAAGTTCACATTATCACAGGGCATTTATTTTTAAGCTTGAAAGCAATACCATCTCATAAGAGTTTGGTTTTTTAAAAAAGATTTTGTTGCAGAGATTAAAAAAAAAAAACCTTAGCCATTGTTGAGGAAGTACATTGCCAAATAATAAATCTTAGGTATGGAACAAAAATAATGTACTGTCAAGCAGAGCATCAGTTGGTGAAGTGTTGTCATTGCTCTGTCTTAATGTGCTACATTTCATTAAGATGTGAGGGGCACCCACACTGCCCATTGCCTCCAGCTGTACCCTTTAAACTGATAGTTTACCAACTTACAGTCCATCGTTCTAGATTGTGTTAGATGTCTTTAAAATGTTTGAATCAACGCAAAACCAGAGTGGTATACTTCTTTTACCTCAGTCTTCCTTCCCTTCTTTATACCCCCCTGGGGTCTGAATCATCTTATCTGATTATTTTCATAGCATAAAATGATTTTAATATCCCTTCCCTTCTTTAGCCTTCCATATTACAACCCGTCCCAGCCGTATTCATCGGCCTATTCCTGGCTTTCCTGTTTTGGTGTTTCGGTCCATTGTGGTAGAGAAAGGTACAAGCACTACTGTTGAGTCCTTGTCTGTTTGTCCCCGTCACCTGTTTGTGCCATATTTGTAGCATAGTGCATGGCAAAAACACACAGGTATTTTGTTACCTGAAGCAAACCCTTCATTTAGTATGCCATGTATTGTGTCACGCCAATGAACTGAACAGTCAACTAATCACATAACATTTTGTCTTGTTTACTTTGTAGTAATGCTAACCATGAATTAATTCCAACCTAACCAGTTGTTAATATGCTTCCTTTAACTGAGTCTTTATCTCTAGCAAACTGGAGTAAACTATGAATTTCTGCAATATTAGTACCCCCTTTCCAACTATGTTTAATCAGATTTGTATGAGAAATGAAGAGTTTGCCTCTCTGAAGTTTTTTAGCCAGCTTTTTCCTCCCTTTTCTTTGCCCTCTTTCCCTTCCATAGTGTAGAATCTCTTTGTTTCAACACTTTACCTTTTTATACAGTGGCTATGAAGATTTAAAAAAAAAAAAAGACTGAGATTAACATAATGAACCACTGGCTCACAATCTCAACTCCAGTATGCCCTTGTGAGAATATAAACTTATCATATATCTTTCTGAGCCCTGACCTACAACATCAGAATATTTCTTTAAAAAACAACTTTTTCAACTGGGCATGCCTGTAATCACAACACTTTAGGAGGCGGAGGCAAGAGGATTGCCTGAGTCTCAGGGTTTGAGACCAACCTGGACAACTTTGCGAGACTTTGTCTCTACAATAAATTTTTAAAAATTAGCCATGCATGGTGGCCCACACCTGTGGTTCCAGCTACTTGGAAGGCTGAGGCACTGCACTCCAGCCTGGGTATCAGAGTAAGACTCTGACTTTAAAAAAAAAAAAAAGAGTTTTCAACAAGACAGTTGGAACATGAGAAAAAATTAAGATACTAACCAAAGCAAGTTGATAATATAAAAATATCTGAAAGTTTTCAGGGAACAGCCATCCATGCTTGTCCCTACCTGGCATGCATGTTAGTAGAGCATATGAGGCTGGGCTCGGTGGCTCAGCCTATAATCCCAGCACTTTGGGAGGCCGAGGCAAGAGGATTGCCTGAGCCCACAAGTTCGAGACCCCCCCGGGCAACTTGGCAAGACCTCGTCTCTATAATAAATCAAAAACTAGCCAAGCGTGGTAGCACACCCCTGTAGTTCCAGCTACTTGGAAGGCTGAGGCAGAAGAATCACTGGAGCCCAGCAGGTTGAGGCTGCAGTGGCTGGGAGCGTGCCACTACACTCCAGTCTGGACGACAGAGTGAGACTCTAACTCAAAAAAAAAAAAAAAAGTAGAGCATATGAGGTGTCTGGCCTGATTACACCAGAACAAGGTCTTTACCAGAATTACCAGACAGGCAGTAATATTACCCTAATATTACTTGAACCCTATCTGATTTTGTCTTCTATCATTTCAAGTTAGAGGATCAAAGTCTAGATCATTTTCTAATACCTTAGCCACCAGTCCTTTGTATAAAATTTCCCAACATGTGAGTCTGGCTGTCATCAAGAAATAAACATTTTAGGCAGAAACAAACTACAGGTATCTATAGATATCGGTTATATTGGGATATATGGATACCAGAGTAAATAAAGCATACGAATTTCAACTGTAACCAAGTTGAAAACTGCTCAGGACTTTCCTGGCATGTTTCAGGCTTCCAAATGGTGTTCCTGCTATTATGACTCTCCTCAAACCTGCATTCCCTCACTTTTTTCCTTTTTAAACTCTGTTCTTATGATGCAAAAATAGGATTTTTTTTTCAATATTCTGTTAAGTATTCAGGACTCTCTGGAACCAAGGGGTTAATAGGTATGAAAAGAGAGGGGAGAATGTGATATTGACTCTTGGTTTCTTTCCACACAGAAACCCTGGCCCTGGATGCCCATGTTGGCTGCCCTGGTTGCAGTGACAGCCATCGTGCTGTACGTGCCAGGTCTGGCCAGAGCTTCTCCATGAGAGCGTTCCTTGAGTCCGTACACCGTCTTCCCTCTAGAAGCTGGCATCACACTCATGCTGGGGACAAACAGAACCATTTTCTTCTTTTTTACCTCTTAAAACAGCAGAAGTACAAGAATACAGCTGTAGGGTCATTGCTTTAAATTATATAAAATGTATCTGTCTATAAAGAGAATATAAAATTGTGACTATTCTACTGTAAGCAATAATTGCTTGCAATTTTTCATGTAATTTTTAAATTAGTATGTTGAGATTCTGAATATTATGGTGGCCTAAAGTAGGCTTCTTGGTAAACCAAATTATTTATAACATTAAATTTATGAGTATTTTACTCTGAATTCTGATGACCAGATTAATTCATTTTTCTGATTCGATAATAACTACCCAAACCAAACAACCAATATATACATGGGAAGAGAGGCCCTGTGTGCTCAGTGCCTATCAGTTTGAAATATATACACATATATATATATTTTTTACATATTTACGCCATTTTTACTTGTTATAAAACCACTGAGCTATTGGGAACAAGAGTTAGACAACTATTTGCGTGGATTTCTTTTTTTAAGGAAAAAACATTTGGAAAATATTCTGTTAGAGTGATAATTTGGGGTATATGTGCACGCTTGTTCAGCCTTAATGTGACTTGAAGATGTGGAGGACATCAACTTTGAAAAACTTTCCATGAGAGTGTGTATTTTCTTGAGCAAACTGAAGTATTTCTGGGAGCAAAACATAGTAATTACACAATTTCAGTGCAGTCAACCAAACTGTTGAGTCAATTGGAATGTAATTTATTAAACCTCATGTATTTAAAGAGATATTTTCTTTAAAAGTCAAGTTACTTTCTCATATACAGCATTTTAGGAAGCATGATTTTTTTTCTATCATCTGTTCCTCCAAGCATGTTTAATTGAAGAAAGAGTTAATATCTCTTTAGATAAGCTTTTATTGACTTAATTTGGTTATGATGTGTCAGAGCTAGTATATGTTCAAGGTGAGCTGTTACCTACCTACGAGTTACTGGTTGGGTATGAAAATGGTTATTTTCTTTTTATTGTTAATTGGGACTTTCTGTTAATGAGAAGCACTATTCCCAAGATTAATAGTGATCTATGCACAACGAAGCACCTAAAAACACTGCTTGATGTTATAAATTTAAAACACAGAAGTGAAAGTTTAGCTATGGTTTTGTGCAGCATCATAGTTGTGTCAATAAAGTTTATTTAGGTCATAGACTATCCTAAAGTATCACATAGTTAAATTTTTCAATCTATGAAAACTGGGAGGGAATGTCAGCAAATTGGCTTGAATGTTCTGTGGCAGTCCACAGGCCTAGGCAAATATTGAATAGGAGTTTAGGATACAATTTGCCTTGTGATGTTTGGCAGTCACCGTTTATACTTTAAAGGTTATATTTTAAGCTATTAATATTTGGGATTGCTGTTGGGAGGATCACTAGATTTATGGAGGAATTAGTCACAAATGACTTGTAGAAAATACTGTCATATAGTTCATTTCATCATTTTCTGTTGCAGGAAGCCACTCCACCACAGAATGCTAATATGCCAGTGGTACCCAGTACCTCTTGTATATAGGTTATTGCAAATATTGTTCTGAAATGCTTAACTTCAGAATTACATTTTTTAAAGTAAATAATTGTTTAAATCTATTTTGTAAAGATATAAAGTACAATAGAATTTCTGGAGTACAGATTAAACTATTTGCACTAACACACGTGATGTGCATGATTTAATAAAATAACTTTACTCTCCCTACGCATGTTTGAGTTGGATATCATTGAAATTCTTAGTGCTGACTTTACTATTGGGTTGTTAATACTCTTTAGTTGCTAATAGTCATCTTGAAATAACTCTTCATGCAAATAGCATATATTTGGTATTCTTCAGGTTTAAAGGAAAACACTTAGTTGTTTCTTCCAAATTTTTATTAGCTTACTGCTTTTTTTAATTTAACTTATTGCTATATTTTTTCCCCTTTTCATATGGTTATTATTAAAACGAGACTCACTTGGCAGACCAGTCTCTTTAAATGTAAGGTCTAGTATCAATATTTACTTTATTCAAATCGAATAAATGGGGTTTTGTAGTTACTTCCAGTTTTCCTCAAGAAAATAAATAAGCCTATTCATAAGCAATACCTTCAGTTTTATGCGGTTCACTTCCAGGTTAAATAAAGAGTAGGATTATTTACTGGTAGTAATAGAATCATTAAGAAATTTTAAGCATAGCAGTTAAGAATTGAACAACTCTGTAATGATACATTTAAGAATTATTAGCTGGGCGCGGTGGCTCAAGCCTGTAATCCCAGCACTTTGGTAGGCAGAGGCAAGAAGATTACATGAGCTCAGGGGTTCAAGACTAATCTGGGCAACATGGTGAGACCTCCTCTCTACAATAAATTAAAAAAATCAACCAGGTATGGTGGCACATGCCTGTGGTTCCAACTACTTGGAAGGCTGAGGCAGAAAGATTGCCTGAGCCCAGCAGGTCAAGGCTGGGGTCGCCGTGAGTGTGCCACTGCACTCCAGCCTGGGTGACAGAGTAAGATTCCAATGCAAAAAAAAAAAAAAAAAAGAATTATTCAATGGTGCTACATGGCAGGCTCAGAAAATGAAAAGAACATGGTGTTTGAAGCTAAACAGATCTATATTGGCACCTGAGTTCTGCCTTTTATCAAACTGTGTTACCTTGCTCAAATCACTTATTTTTTCTGAGTCTCGATTTACTCGTCTATAAAATGGGGAAGATAATACTTATATTTGTGGTAATAGTGTGAAATTTAAAAAGATAATGTATGTGAAGCATCATTCAAGTGGTAAATAAGTCTTTATGAGAATGTCATACTGGAAAAATATTGCAAATATTAAAGTTTCGGGTGAACTGGTACATTTATTTTAAATGAATTGATTGACTCAACTGTTGAGAATTTCTATCTGTGTGAATGATATATGACTGTAACATTATGATGTCTAAGAAAGCATTATTACCTAGATCTATTCGTCTCTTTCTTAGTTCTGTCTTTGGGAAGTAATAGGCTTAGTTCAGTAATGAGCCAATTGCCCACAGTAGTTTTAGAATTCCTGTTGTAATTGTCTTCAGAGTGCCTTCGAGTCATGTGAAAACCATTCACATTGCTCTGTGGTCAGAGGCTTTCAACTAAAAATAGTATTACCTAGCTTGAGCTCTCAAATTAATCACCAGACTTGAATCCAGTGACTTTTGCCTGCTTCCACTGATTATATATCTACTATCAAAAGGATGGAAATCTGCTACCAAAGAATAAAAAGTGCATACAAATCAACTGAGTTAAAAATGCAGCCTTGCGGCCGGGCGCAGTGGCTCATGCCTATAATCCCAGCACTTTGGGAGGCCAAGGTGAGAGGATTGCCTGAGCCCACAGGTTGGAGACCAGCCTGGGCAACTTGGCGAGACCTCATCTCTACAATAAACCAACAAAAATGATCTGGGCATGGTGGCGTATGCCTGTTGTTCCAGCTACTTGGAAGGCTGAGGCAGAAGGATCACCTGAGCCTAGCAGGTCAAGGCTCTGGTGGCTGTGAGTGGGCCTCTGCACTCCAGTCTGGGCGATTCTGACTCAAAAAAAAAAAAAAAAAAAAAATGCCACCTTGCCAGGTGTGGTGGTTCGTGCCTGTGATCCCAACACTTTGGGAGGTGGAGACAAGAGGATTGCCTGAGCCCATGGTTTGAAACCAGCCTGAGCAACTTGGTGAGACCTCATTTTTACACTAAATCAAAAAAACTAAGCCGGGCTCAGTGGCTCAGCCTGTAATCCCGCGCCTTTGGGAGGCTGAGGTGAGTGGATTGCCTGAGCCCGCGGGTTCGAGACCCGCCTGGGCAGTGAGACCTCATCTCTACAATAAATCAAAAAATCAGCCGGGCATGGTAGCACATGCCTGTAATTCTGGCTACTCGGAAAGCTGAGGCGGAAGGATCGCTGGAGCCCAGCAGGCGAGGCTGCGGTGGCCGGGAGCGGCCACTGCACTCCAGTCTAGGTGACCGAATGAGACTCTAACTCAAAAAAAAAAAAAAAAAATAGCTGGTTGAGGTGATGCACATCTATGGTTCCAGCTACTTGAAAGGCTAAGGGAGAAGGATCACCTGAGTGCAACAGGTCGAGGCTTTGGTGACTGTGAGCATGCCACTGTACTGTAGCAACAAAGTGAGATTCCAATTCAAAAAAAAATTGCAGCCATACACAAAAAATTCACTCCTGGAAATTTATTCTGAGAACATAATTAAGCATGTGCATAAAATTTTAACTACTAGGACATTTGGTGCATCATATAGTGACAGATAACCTAAATATACAGCAGCTGTCACTGGTTAAATAATATTGCCACCCTACAGATTACTGTTCTTACAAAATAAATGGAACGATATTTGTAGTATATTAAGTAAAAGAAACAGCTTACCAGTGTAGAATAATCCTGGTTTTATAAAGGAAAAAAATGGGCCGGGCGCCGTGGCTCATGCCTATAATCCCAGCACTTTGGGAGGCCAAGGTGAGACGATTGCATGAGCCCGCAGGTTCGAAACCAGCGTAGGCAACTTGGCAAGACCTCATCTCTACAGTAAATCAAAAAATTAGCTGGGCATGGTGGTGCATGCTTGTAGTTCCAGCTACTTGGAAGGCTGAGGCAGAAAGATTGCCTGAGCTCAGCAGGTCGAGACTGCAGTGGCCATGAACGTGCCACTGAACTCCAGCCTGGGCAACAGAGTGAGACTCCAACTCAAAAAACAAAAAATAAAATGAAATAAAGGAAAAAAAATGTAGACATACAGGATTTGCTTGTTGTGACGAACTTAGAAAGACTTACACCCAGACTATAGCAGTGGTTGTCTTTGTATGGTTATGGGTAAATTCCTGTTCCCCTTTATGATTTATGGTTAATTTTTGTAGTAAGTATATGTTTCTTGTGTAAATTTTTAAGAAGCTACAAAAAGATTCCAAGTTGGTTTCCATAGTTGAACGAGTAACTAACTTGCTCAAGTACCCACCTTTAAAGGAGCTAACGTTTATTTGCACTTAGGAATTCTGGCATGTTCATTCAACTGTTGGTTTAGCTGGATGTGATGGTGTGCACCTGTAATCCCAGCTGAGGCAGGAGGATCACGTGAGCCCAGGAGTTTGTGACCAGTCTGGATAACACAGCAAGACCCTGTCTCAAAAAAAATTTTGTTTAAGTCAGTCATAATTTTAAGCACGCTTGTATCTATGTACATAGAAATACAATGCTAGAAAAACCCTTAGCAATTCAGTCTCACTTTTTTGTTTATCTGGGAGAAAATCCAGAGAGTTCTTATTTATTTGTTTATTTATTTATTTATTTAATTTTTTTTTTTTTTGAGGTGGAGTCTCACTCTGTCTCCCAGACTGGAGTGCAATGGCCACTCCCAGCCACCGCAGCCTCGACCTGCTGGGCTCCGGCGATCCTTCCACCTCAGCCTTCCAAATAGCTGGAACTACAGGCACGTGCTACCACTCCCGGCTAATTTTTTGATTTTTATTGTAGAGATGAGGCCTCACCAAGTTGCCCAGGTGGGTCTCGAACCTGCGGGCTCAGGCAATCCACTCACTTCGGCCTCCCAAATCGCGGGATTACAGGCTGAGCCACTGAGCCCGGCCTGAGAGTTTTTAACTTGAGTTATAACAGGCCGGGTGCAGTGGCTCATGCCTATAATCTCAGCACTTTGGGAGGCCGAGGTGAGAGGATTGCCTGAGCCCATGGGTTCAAGACCAGCCTGGGCAACTTGGTGAGACCGCATCTCTACAATAAATAAATAAATAAAATTAGCCAGACATGGTGGCACATGCCTATAGTTCCAGCCACTTGGAAGGCTGAGGCAGAAAGATCGCCTGAGCCCAGCAGGTTGAGGCTGTGGTGGTTGTGAGCATGCCACTGCACTCCAGCCTGGATAACAGAGTGAGACTCCAACTCAAAAAAAATAAAAAATAAAAAGTTATAATAATAAAGTTAAGAACCAAGATGTTTATTTCTTTTTTTGCTACTCCATATTGTGTCTCCAGGCTTCAATGGCTTTATAACCATTAATTTAACAAATACATTTTGAGTGTCTGATATGAGGCCCTATGCTAGATCCTGGCAGTACTCTGTCCCTACCTTCATGGAGCTTTGGTGTAGAGGAGATACACAGGCAAGTAAGCTGGCAATTACAATGCCGTGTAATAGAAGACAATGGAGCCTATGGAACCATAGAAGAGGGGTGCATTTTCCTTCACCAACCACCCAACTGTGCAGTTCAGAAATACCTGGCTGCAGAGCCAAAGGTATTTTCTTTCTAGGTCTAGGTAACAGGACTGGTTTCTCTTGAAAGTACCTGACATTGAAAGCCATCAAGATCTGAGACTAATTTTCTTTCAAAAAGAGGCCAGACACAATGACTCACACTTGTAATCCCAGCACTTTGAGAAGCCAAGGCAGAAGGATTGCTTGAGCCCAGGAGTTCAAGACCAGCCTAAGCAGCATAATAAGACCTTATCTCTACGAAAAATCAAAAAATTAGCTGGGCGTAGTGGCATGTGCCTGTAGCTCCATGATCATGCTACTGCACTCCAGCCTGGACAACAGATTTAGCCCCCAAGTGGGAAAAAAAGACAATTTGATTGGAAAGCATTTTTAAGGCTTTGTGTATAATATCCTGGAGTTTTACTCTGTTAAATTGTTTAAACTATGCCTTGCAAGTTACAGGTAACTAGTGAAGGGTTTGTTTGT